TCGAATCAAATGCTCGTCCACTGTAACACCTCCTGTGCAGCAGTACTCACAAAGTAAATGCCTTCATTCCAGCCCGATGAAGTTAGCCAGGTCTGAAATTTTCCACGGTTGTAGATTAGTCCTATGAATAGTTACAACTGGCTTGGCAAGCTATGATGACTTTCCCCTGCTTTACACACATAATTGTTGTGCTGCTCCTTGTTGGAATCACGCTTACTTTTCCGGGGAGCCAAGATGACATTGTAATGAAGGTTCTGCTGAATTTAGCATCGATCCATTCGTGGACGTTCCGACAGCAAAAGCGCCAGCGAGTCAATGCAAAACTTCGAAGAAAGTGTCCAAACGAGGTAACACATTTCTGGTATGTCACAACTACACTACTTGATGCTCAATCTTTCCAACTCTCGCACAAAATCTGTGTACGCGTCGGTTCGCGTCCTGTGTATGTACGGTGTTACTATAGCTCCTGGCACATAAAAGGGTAAAAACTCCCAGGTCCAGTCAATATAGTACCGAGAAAGTCTTGAAAATGCTTGAATATAGCCGATGAGAACTTAGTTTTTTCGGCAATTTTGTATTCCTATCGAGGGTGATTTCGGGACCTTTGGACGCGATTGGACACGCCATACTGGGCCAAGATACTCTTGAAGACATTATCTATCAAATAACACCGAAAAATCCTTGTTAGCCAACATGTGTCAAGGCATGTATTTTAGAGGTCGATTTTTTGAATTGGCCCCAGTACTAATACTATTATAGTATTAGTATTACAGTCAGCTCTTGCACTTGCAGTCTTGGCCTACTCAGTAGTCAGTAGGCTACTGACTACTGTCATGTCACACTACTAATACTAGTAGTACTATAGTACTATGAGTATGAGGTCGAAAGTACACCATGCCGATCCTACACGGATACATCCTGTGTGCCTTTGATTATTTTGTTTGAGTTTGACTTTGAGCTTTGGCAGTGGACCGTATGCGTGTTAAAACAAAATGGCGTCACGATTTATTGAAAGTGGTATAGTTGGTGGAACGAGTGTTCAAAACCATTTGAACTTCATACTGTTCGTCTTCTTTTTGACATGCTCTCTTTCCATCGTCCTTAGCTTTTGTTTGTTGTGAGCTGTTTTGGCTTTCTCCTATACCTCTGGGGGATGCCAAGTGATGGTTTTGATAGGCTGGTGATGGCTGTGAGTGAGAGGTTGCCGATCGGCGTCGTCCTCGCTATAGCGATGAAAATACTAGTTACTGCGAACCTGGCAGATATCACAAGACGTCGGAGCGTCCAGGAGCAAAGGAATCTTGAGTTTTCACTGGAATCTAGTTCCTCCAGCATCGTGTAGCCCACCGTCGGTGAATGGCCGTCCAGAAAGGTCGAACCTGGTCTTCTGCAGCATCTCGCAGTCCTGCGAGGCACACTGAATACGCCTGTCATGTATTCTACAAATAAAAATCACGAAGTAGTGGATTCTATAGTGATGAGTCTATCCTGTACGCTGCAAAAGACACAGAACATGTGACTGGTGTCTGTACACTGGACGCCAATATCCCAGTCTTCTCCTGCAGGATCTGTTTGGCATTGACATACCGGTATGCAGTGGGTCGACATTGGCCTGGTTTGGCAGGTATCTGCCTGGGTGGATGTAGCAGGTTTGCATTGGCTCGTCGTCCAGTCCGACATTTTCCTGTAACTGTGGAGTACCAGCAGGGTTTGAGAGGTTGCTCATGCTGTGAACACATCTCTACTGCCTGTCTCGTCCTGGAAGTGCCGTCTCGCCGCTTCCTTGCTCTACAGTCGCGCTTATTTCGCTTTGTTTCGTGGTGCAGCTCAAAACCTGCCCAAACAACTGTGAGCTCGCAACATGGTATGGACAAATTGCGCCACTCATGCTGGATGACTAAAACCGGGATAGTCGAGTAAGCGAGTTTACTCCCTGGGCCATGGCAAGATCTGTTCAGCGCGGGCTATTCCAACCTCCAAGTGCATAGTCACCGATCGATCCATGCGATGGTGGTTGACCTACAAAGAGCCAAGGTCTACGAGTACTACTATTGGATGCTGTCTACATGCAGTCAACAAAATCAAAGTACCTCAGTATGCCCCAGAATAGGGCATATGCATCTATAGCATGACACAACAGGGGTTCTGGCGGCACCTGTCAAACAAGCAGTAGCGACTAGTGCCAGCTACCTATTGGAGGCTAGCCGCTACAGTCTGTCACTGGAGATAATTATTATGTTCACTGTTTAGACTGAGCACAATCAATGATGCCCAATAAATGATGCCCAATCAATCTGCCCAATGTGTGTTCTGTTCCACCTAATTATAACGTCCCATCACATCAACCCTACTACACGCACATGTCGTCACTCTAGCATGACTTGTGTTATTATTGTTTATTTTGATTCGCACGATAAATAGAGCACAATAAACGTTAACTTGACCGAAGGATAAAGGCGACTGCAGATAGAGGAACACATCGAGGTACAGGTACCGGCATCAATACAGTATCAGAGAGAAACAAACAAAAATGAGAGGTACGCAGAAAAACTCTCGTAAGCCCAAGGGGAAGTGGTTGATGAGGGATGAATGCACTCTCCACGCTCATCTACACTGTTCGTGGAAATGCACACATACATACAATAATATACAACATAGCAATAGCATGCACAGAACCGAACAATTTCATGTTCACACATGCAAGCACAGACCTGAACATTAGTACCAAAAGCCGATACAGACAATATCCCCATACACACAGACGCACACACACACATACACACACACACACAATGTCCCATGTATGCGCCCGTGGCGAGAAAAGCACGCAAATCTACAAATGCACTGGATGTGAACCCACAGATATTCTCTTATAGCAACGATAGCGGATCTGATTCTGAATGAAACACACACACACACAATACAATCATTGAATGCCCATCCGCAGATGATGGCAGGTCCGGAAAGAACAGGCAGTGTTCCAGTAATGGGGAACAGAACTTCGAGTGGCGAGTGAGGTATACACACACACACACACACACACACGTGCGTGCGTGGGCACACACTAAAGTATTCAGAAATAGAATCGACATTGTAGTATTCATTGGTTTGGGAATGGAAAGAAAAATAAAACATTGCTGTAGGTTATTGTTGTAAGGACACTGGGAGCACAACAGAAAGGTAAGCAACTTGCTTTGAAGCAAAGAAAGTTATTATTCCACGGATCTCAGAAGGAAGGAACGTTCCAGAATGCTGCACTGGCAACAGGCGGTCTGCATGTGCGCAGCCCCTGCAGTCGGTCCTGCTGCCGGCCTTGCAGTGCTGAAAAGAATGTGCAGTACAGCATGTCACATAGTATTGCAGCCTGGACAAATAGGCGCTGGGAAGTCCTAGTTATGTGCTCACCTACACCACGATGCACCAATCTTCTGAGCTACTTTGGCAACAACTTTGTCCACTTGAGACTCCCATGGGCTGAGCCAGTTGTTGAGGGCTGCACCAAGGTGGACGGCAATGACCGCTGATGGCAAGGCAATCCATAACACACAGTCACTAGGGCATCGTCAACATGGCGCTGAGGCTGGATCAATAAAATCAACCCTTAGGCTGTCACGGGGTTGACAACGAGGCCGCTGTCTCGAAGCTAGTCAGTCAGCCTGGTCACCGCCATTGACGAACCAGTCGCCACCGCCAGCAGTGGCGGTAGGTTGTGACAAGTGTGGTGCAATATTGTCAGCAAATTCAGTACTTAGGATAAGATGAGTGACAAAGGGAACGTTGTGTTTGATAATATTGAAGTGAACAGGGATGATCACAAACCCTGCGCGTACTCCACCGTGAGTTACAAGAAAATTCCGGACTGGACGACGAGCAAACGCCAACCTGCTACATCCAACCAGGCAGATACTATTACGATAGCTGCCAAACCAGGTCAATGCCGACCTACTGCATAATGTCAATGTCAAACAGATCCTGCAGGAGAAGACTGGGGTGTTGGCGTCCAGTCACTGAGTGTACAGACACCAGTCACATTTCCTGTGTCTTTTGCAGCATACAGGCTGAGACTCGTCACTGTAGAGTCCACTATTGCATGAGTTTTATTTGTACAATACATGGCAGGCGTACACGGTGTGCCTCGCAGGACTGCGAGGTGCTGCAGAAGACCAGGTTCGACCTTTCTGGACGGCCATTCACCGACGGTGGGCTACACGATGCTGGAGGAACTAGATTCCAGTGAAAACCCAAGATCCCTTTGCTCCTGGACGCTCCGACGTCTTGTGATATCTGCCAGGTTCGCAGTAACTAGTATTTTCATCGCTATAGCGAGGACGACGCCGATCGGCAACCTCTCACTCACAGCCATCACCAGCCTATCAAAACCATCACTTGGCATCCCCCAGAGGTATAGGAGAAAGCCAAAACAGCTCACAACAAACAAAAGCTAAGGACGATGGAAAGAGAGCATGTCAAAAAGAAGACGAACAGTATGAAGTTCAAATGGTTTTGAACACTCGTTCCACCAACTATACCACTTTCAATAAATCGTGACGCCATTTTGTTTTAACATGAATATCGCGGGTTTGGGGGTCACATGATCTGAGTGGAGACACAAGTCACGTGTCGTTATTTGACACAAGCCAGTCTGCGTCTGCATGCTGCAGCATGATGCAGTATGATGCGTGGAACGTAAAAAAGTCATACTGATAGGATACTAAAAACTAATCATGTCAGTCAGCTGATTCATTATTGTGATGCCGTCATCACTGCACTCAGTCTGCAGTGACAGTAGACAGCAGACAGACTGAGCGGAGCGCTGGACAGTTTTCCCTACTGCCAGTACCAGAGTACTGGCATTGCATGCACTCGTACTACTAAGTACTGTAGTTGATAGTACATGTACAAGAAATCAACGAGTGATGTGATAAAGGGACGATGATGACGAAAATGAGTCACGGACCAAAATACTCTCTGGACTGGAGCGAGCTTTACTCGCATGGGTACCACAAACAGAATGTTTTGAAACGAGTCCATTTGGACATCGCCCATCTCCTGACCTTGGTGCTTTGTTCAGTTCGTATTGTCCATATTGTCCGTAAATCACCGAAGTAGTACCATGACACTGAATGACTGATGTCGAGTGATGTCGATAGTGTATATAGCATTCGGGTAACAAAACCCTTTCAATTTCAATCACTAGCGACGTTGTAACCAAAATAAGTTTACTTGGAATCGTCCCGGGCATGCAAACGTGAGCGGTATTAGCCAGTGTTCGTGCTGAACAAGACGAGTGCACCTGTTCTTTCTCTCCTTGATGTCGGCTGCCCGCATATCACGGTCATGGCTGTGGCGAAGACGCGATGGCTGGCCAAGCAAAGACGTGCTGTCATAGCCAATCAACAGCATGCGGCCAAATGCAAAGCTATACATTCACTGGGTAAGTGCGAGTGCCTGCCGAATTTCCCAATGGTCCAGTTGCCGCATGTTGCAGAAATGTGTAAAAATAGTAAAGTGATGACCATGATGAGCATGAACAGGCGGCGTGGACACTACTATTCCCACAACAAATACATGAACAGGCGGCGTGGACACTACTATTCCCACAACAAATACATGAACAGGCGGCGTGGACACTACTATTCCCACAACAAATACATGAACAGGCGGCGTGGACACTACTATTCCCACAACAAATACATGAACAGGCGGCGTGGACACTACTATTCTCACAACAAATACATGAACAGGCGGCGTGGACACTACTATTCCCACAACAAATACATGAACAGGCGGCGTGGACACTACTATTCCCACAACAAATACATGAACAGGCGGCGTGGACACTACTATTCCCACAACAAATACATGAACAGGCGGCGTGGAGACTACTATTCCCACAACAAATACATGAACAGGCACAGCAATGAATAGAGCAATGTCATTCCGGCGTTGCTAGCAATGTCATTCCGGCGTTGCTAGCAATGTCATTCCGGCGTTGCTAGCAAGGGATGCTAGAAGTAGTTGTACTATACACGTTGTGCTGTCATCAAACACATACACACACATAGCTGCAACAACGTTCCTATGTTTGGAATAATAGGAACGTTGTTTTTCATTCCTGTAATGAGTAAAACGTTTGGGTTTGTAACATGATAATTGACGAGGAGACAAAAACCGTAGTATTGAAATGAAGATTGCAAACGCGCTCATCAGCAGTCACAATATAGCAGTCGAGATACAGTCAACTTCGCTTATAACGACACTCGGCGGGGCATCAGAAAGGTGTCCTTATTCGCGAAGTGTTGTTATACCCGAAGTCTCAATATTATGTATCACAGTTGGATGAGACTTTGCTCTGGGCATGGAAATTCTGTCGTTAATCGCGAATTGTCATTGTATCCGCAGTCGTTATTAGCCAAGTTGACTGTACAATTCAAATCCGGACTGGATTGTGCACGACCTAAATTGATTAGCGTATTTCCCCGAATATAAGTCTTACACCTTTCTACACTAAACTTCAGAGCCAACAAAGGGTGTGCGACTTTATTTATTTTTATTTTATTCTTAGCAATACATGGCTGGGGTAGCCAATGACCACTTTGCGTGGCGATTGCAGGGTTCTTATAGCCAACCACGGCTAGCAAGGAAAAGAGTAAGACTTACAATCGAGCATGTTCTACTACCGAAGTGAATGTTTTGGAACGATATGATAGACCTTAAAATAGTGGTGCGACTTACCATCATGGAAATATGGTATTGAATTACTGTGGGCATGAAACATGTCACCCGGGTAACATTTTATTGCTGTCATTTCCACTATTAACAATACCTCTGTAATGGGCCAACTAATCGGTGTTGTAAATGTTAGATCAGGACCGGCGGCGCAAGCAGTTATTGATTGGTCCCGCCATGCAACAGCCATTCATATATTGTACCTGATAAGGTGGGTACACATGACAACAGCCATTCATACAGTTTGTGTATGATAAGGCGGCTAGTCACATGACAACAGCCATTCATACAGTTTGTGTATGATAAGGCGGGTAGTCACATGACAACAGCCATTCATACAGTTTGTGTATGATAAGGCGGGTAGTCACATGACAACAGCCATTCATACAGTTTGTGTATGATAAGGCGGGTAGTCACATGACAACAGCCATTCATACAGTTTGTGTATGATAAGGCGGGTAGTCACATGACAACAGCCATTCATACAGTTTGTGTATGATAAGGTGGGTAGTCACATGACAACAGCCATTCATACAGTTTGTGTATGATAAGGCGGGTAGTCACATGACAACAGGCATTCATACAGTTTGTGTATGATAAGGCGGGTAGTCACATGACCCTCTCAGCAGTAAACACACGTTGGCCGGCAAAGAGTTGGTCCGGTCATGACCGGACCAACCGGACGGTTTCGGCCGCCCCTGTAGAAACTCAGAACTTGCACTGCAACATAAATGCTTAGAATACCGTCAGCAGAGTTTGTTGAAGTTTTTGGAACGGGACCATATCAGGTGACGGGTGTGAGTGCAATGAGCTGACAGTCTTGTCGTGTTGTCATCCTTCAGGCGCGTAGGCAGGGGGGGGGGGGGGTGCTTTGGGTGCCAAAGCACCCCCTCAAAAATTTCGACCATGGGTCTGGCTTGGCATGCATTTGTATGATCAAACAACCGCGACTGCCCTCAGCCCAGACCGGGTGCATGCTACGTACATGTAGATCTGCGAGTACTGCATTGTACTACACGTGCTTGCACTTTTCCGTTGGAGTCAGTGTGCAAGTATTAGTTACTCCATGAACAAAGTGGTCTAAATTCCAAAAATGCGCTACTTGTGGCGCATGTTGCTGCGAAGGTAGCAGGTCTGAAAACACCGACAAAATCAGCAAAGTGCTCGCCAAGGAAAGAAGGTGCGGAACTGCTTACCCTACCCCGCTGGAAGGTCGTTACAGTCTACTTGAAAAATGCTAGCTTGCCTTCATCCCCTGCCACCTGGAGGCATGGATCGCTTGAAAACGAAGTTTCTTGACCTGAATTTGAACGCGCGTCTTCTTAAGCGTATTGTTGAGTGCTGAAGGGTCTGCCTCAAACTCTGATGAAGCCGTCGACCTTAGCTGCAAGTGCAGCGAAGCGGGAGGCCACAAACTAAAGCTTGGTCCGTCGACAATGCTCTGCCTCAATTTCTAGCTGATTTCTTTGCCCCTCGAGTGGACAAAATAAATTCGAAAAATCTCTCTGGGAAGCAACAATTTTAATGACGCGGAGGAAGTAGATTGTTGGATTGGCAAGCTGGAGACATTCATTATACATAAATAATTCAAGGTGTACACCGCACTAGCATGCATACAATATTATACATGTACAAGATTCCTCAAAAGAACGTTTTTGGAAGAAAATTATGGGCATTTACAACCTTGACCATGATCCTGGCTACACCCCTGTCCTTGGTGTGATTGTAATGAGCTGATAGTCTTGTCGTGTTGTTATCCTTACCGTCGTCCTTGTCTTTGTTCTTGTCCGGATGCAGGGTTACGTTTTCTCGCAACATCTGTCTTTATAGTGATCTTCAGTTGGTGTTGCATCAGTGGTGTTAGCTGCGAGCTCTTCACCAATTTAACCTGGCCGGCTAATCATACACTCCCGACGGGAACATATGGCTGCTATGGTGACAACGCGACGAACAAAATGGCTGACGATGGTGATTGCCGCTTCGTATTCCAAGTTTCAGTGGGCGGTAGTGGTAGTAAAGTCATTCAGAATAGCTCAAGTCCATGGCTGACAGCTTCTTTCCAAATACAGCAGAATCACGGACAAGTGTTCTGTCAACCGCTGCAGTGCTCAGTGCAAGCAACTGCCGTCATCTACACTTTAAACGTAACATGTGAGTACATGTAGCACTTGATGTGTATGCTCGTGCTCGTCACGGCCATGGCCATGGCATCCGGTTAGGCCAGTCTGCTCATGGTAGGACCTTATTTCAAAAATGCGGACCCATTTGACTGGTGCGAAACCAGGCTTTCCGTCAATTATGTCTATTTCTCGGTCAACTTTCCTATTTTGGGTCAACTTTCGCATTTTGGCTGAGCATCTGAGATCCCTGTGCTGCGAGTGACCCTGTAGTATATGATGCACTGCATACATCATCCATGTACTGTATCATCAATTCACTGTATGAATGTACTGTATCACCAATGCGCTGTATCATCAATGCGCTGTATCACCAATGGACTGTATCATCAATGTACTCTGTCATACATGTACTGTATCACCGATGTACTGGATCACCAGTGTACTGGATCACCAGTGTACTGGATCACCAGTGTACTGGATCACCAGTGTACTGGATCACCAGTGTACTGGATCACCAGTGTACTGGATCATCCATGTACTGGATCACCAGTGTACTGGATCACCAGTGTACTGGATCACCAGTGTACTGGATCACCAGTGTACTGGATCACCAGTGTACTGGATCACCAGTGTACTGGATCACCAGTGTACTGGATCACCAGTGTACTGGATCACCAGTGTACTGGATCACCAGTGTACTGGATCACCAGTGTACTGGATCACCAGTGTACTGGATCACCAGTGTACTGGATCATCCATGTACTGTATTGTACGTGGTTCCCTAGTGCAACGGATTCTCCGCCAGGACCCATCTCTGGGTGATGCACTGGTGTCCATCCGCACACAGAAGCGTCTTGCCACCTCCCAATCTCGGGATGCACTGCGGGCTGAGGTCACGATGATTACTGCTACCCTTGGAGTTTGGCAGTTCACAGCCAACTGAACGGGGCAGCTTCCTGAAGCTTGCCTATGGCATGAAACTGGGATGTGCAGATTAACCCTCAGTAAGAATGTCGCGCCTTTGAAAGGCATGCAACTCTGAGTTGCAAATTGACCAAAGTGCGTTTTCTTGTTTTCTATGAAAATGTAGAATTGATCATCGTGAAACTGTTTCTTCCTGTTTGCAACAGATCCGGTCATGCTGGATACTTCAGCACCGGGGTATCTAGATCGCATGCCTCGAGAGGGTAGCACTGTGCATTGCCCGTTCGTTTCCAATCCACCAGCCGTGGTGACGTGGAGTATGAACAGGTCTAGCCATGGCTGTGATGTCAAAGGGGTTAACCAGTGTGACCTGTGCGGTGATGAGCAAGGTCAGCACTGTCCATACTCCCGTAACAGCACGACTCAGCAATGCCGCACCGCCGTCAACTCATCTTGTTTCTCACGCAAACCAGACGACAGCGTATCCATACTCTACGGATGCATTGGGTGTTTGCAGTGTACTGCCTCTAACACAGTCATGGGCAAACAGACAGTGCAGACCTTTACCTTCAAGTTAACAGCTTACGGTTAGTGATGATGCAGTAGCTGCAGAAGAATTGCCTTTTCAAACACACACACACACACACACACACACACACAGACACACACACACACACACCACGTAACTACGAACAACACAGGCACACCTACACACCCACCCACAGGCACACCCGGTAGCACACACACCACCCACCCGTACACCACCCACCCACCACCCACCCACACACCACCCACCCACACACCACCCACCCACCACCCACCCACACACCACCCACCCACCACCCACCCACACACCACCCACCCACCACCCACCCACACACCACCCACAGGCACACCCGGTAGCACACACACCACCCACCCATACACCACCCAGCCACCACCCACCCACACACCACCCACCCACACACCACCCACACACCACCCACCCACACACCCACACACCACCCACCCACACGCCACCCACACACCACCCACCCACACACACCACACACACACACACACACACACACACACACACCACCCACACCTACCACCCCCCCCCCCCCACACACACACCACGCACGCACACCACGCACACACACACACACACACACACACACACACACACACACACACACACACACACACACACACACACACACGCCACGCACACACGATACACAAGCATAAACGCACGCATGCACACTCACCTACAGGCTCATATTGCACCCGATACCCAACCCTAGTAAAATAGGACATAGCACACACACCACCTTACCAGTAGCACACACACACACACACACACACACACACACACACACACACACACACACACACACACACACACACACACACACACACACACACACTCACACACACACACACACACACACTGTAGCACACACACACACACACACACACACACACACACACACACACACACACACACACACACACACACACACACACACACACACACACACACACACACACACACACACACACACACACACACACACACACACACACACACACACACACACACACACACACACACACACACACACACACACACACACACACACACACACACACACACACACACACACACACACACACACACACACACACACACACACACACACACACACACACACACACACACACACACACACACACACACACACACACACACACACACACACACACACACACACACACACACACACACACACACACACACACACACACACACACACACACACACACACACACACACACACACACACACACACACACACACACACACACACACACACACACACACACACACACACACACACACACACACACACACACACACACACACACACACACACACACACACACACACACACACACACACCCCCCCCACACACACACATCCACACACACACACACACACACACACACACCACCCACACACACACACACACCACCCACACACCATACACAACCATAAATGCACGCATGCACACTGACCCACAGGCTCATATTGCACCCGATACTCAACCCCAGTAAAATTAACAATATGGGCAGAACAGTAGCAATGACCTACCTTCACAAAAATTGTTGTAGAATAGCAATTGATTTCGAAACAGAACAGAACAGATACTAAGAACGACAGTCAGACCTCGCATACCCGCACACATGCCGTTTTCCACAAAAAATATCCGAATAGGCAAGGGAAGCGGATAATCGAACACACATACCGTATGTATGCATGACATATGCTGTAAATCAGTAAGCAACGGTATTCTTCCGGATGGCGAGGGGTCCGGATAAAAGAGGAGCGGATAAGCGGCGAGGTCTGACTGCACTTTTCTGCTTTGCTTATGACTATGTTCTGTAGGATTGTGTCCAGCAGGTGTTGCAGGACAGCAGCTGGTGTTTGGTACTGCCACGGCAAAGGAATCCAACAGTTTGATCGCTGGCGAGCATCCTGTGCATTTCATCATTACGTACCAGAGTTCAGTACAACAAGCTGTTAAAGTGCGCTCACCTCAAGGACACGATGTCATTATAGACGGATATAATTACTACCAACCGTAAGATATACTTGATTCGTCTTTTTCGCTCCATTTTGGATTCCATAGCTGCACCACAATATCATATCAACCGAACACATCACCCGAACAAATCACCCGAACCCATCACCCGAACCCATCACCCGAACAAATCACCCGAACCCATCACCCCAACGCATCAGCCGCAACACATCAACCCCAACGCATCAACCCCAACACATGAAACCCAACACATGAAACCCAACACATCAACCGAAAACATCACCTTATCAACACATTGAAAACTCTTGCAAAAGAAGGATCCACCAGCGGGGTTCAAACCTGGCACCCCTTTTTTCCGGGACAGTGCCCTTCCTATTAGGCTACCGGGATCAAACACACCCTTGGCTCCTTCTCGCTACCTACCTCAACACATCACCTCAACTCATCACCTTAACACATCACCTCAACACATCACCTCAACACATCACTTCAACTCATCACCCAAATACGGCAGCACCCCAACACATCATACGCACACACGCACGCACACACACACACACACGCACGCACACACACACACACACACACACACACACACACACACACATACACACACATGTACACACGCGCACACACGTTTCCACACGTTCACACATGTACATACGTTTACAGATGTACACACATACTGCAGACACACTCTAGAGGAAACAAAAGCCTTTCTGCTGTAACTCTGACACACATCCATACTTGTACCTTTGACCTTTTGACGCCCATCGCCGGAGGCGATGATAGCAATGCTATGGCAGAAGCCATGGCAACTTGTGCTGGGATTGCACCATTCAACAGCTTGCAAGGCTGAAGAATTGACCGTCACTATTCAGCCTGGTCTACACCGTACAGCTATTCGAAGTGACTTTTTCTGGCCAGTGAATCCCTATTTTTTGTCTTTTCATTTTTTTTTCCCTCACACACATCACACCACATACCCCGGCATGCACTGGCTGTTGGTAACCACCCAGGAGAATGAAAGAAAAGTCAGGAAGAATCTGAGAAAGAGAAGAAAGACGTGTGTGACCATAATCGTTAGGAATCGAACCCGCAACCTATCGATTGGAAATCGCTGCACATGCCACTGCACCATACTGCACCATACTTATACACACACACACACACACACACACACACACACACACACACACACACACACACACACACACACACACACACACACACACACACACACACACACACACACACACACACACACACACACACACACACACACACACACACACACACACACACACACACACACACACACACACACACACACACACACACACACACACACACACACACACACACACACACACACACACACACACACACACACACACACACACACACACACACACACACACACACACACACACACACACACACACACACACACACACACACACACACACACACACACACACACACACACACACACACACACACACACACACACACACACACACACACACACACACACACACACACACACACACACACACACACACACACACACACACACACACACACACACACACACACACACACACACACACACACACACACACACACACACACACACACACACACACACACACACACACACACACACACACACACACACACACACACACACACACACACACACACACACACACACACACACACACACACACACACACACACACACACACACACACACACACACACACACACACACACACACACACACACACACACACACACACACACACACACACACACACACACACACACACACACACACACACACACACACACACACACACACACACACACACACACACACACACACACACACACACACACACACACACACACACACACACACACACACACACACACACACACACACACACATAATATCATATACATACTTACACACCCACACATACACACCCGCACACACACAAATGTACACACACACAAACGCTCACACCCACACACATGTACACACATACGCATACGCCCACCACCTAAGTGTGAACTGAAAGTTATTGACATTGTTGATTCCGTGTGATATTTTATCTGTACACAGCGCCCAGCCGATTCTTCTGCACGCCGTGAATTGTAGCTTTCTCTACAATTTTACAATCCTACGACCTGTCAGAACTGAAGACAGCGGTGATTGGCAGTTTGAGTTTAAATCTGCCATTCCCAAGTTGGGAGTGAAAACACAGAGCATTACCGTCACTGTTACAGGTAGGCACTACATGATATGGTGTAAGAGTGAAAACACAGAGCATTACCATGGCAACATGATATGGTGTAAGAGTGAAAACACAGAGCATTACCATGGTTACAGGTAGGCACTACATGATATGGTGTAAGAGTGAAAACACAGAGCATTACCATGGCAACATGATATGGTGTAAGAGTGAAAACACAGAGCATTACCATGGCAACATGATATGGTGTAAGAGTGAAAACACAGAGCATTGCCATGGTTACAGGTAGGCACTACATGATATGGTGTAAGAGTGAAAACACAGAGCATTACCATGGTTACAGGTAGGCACTACATGATATGGTGTAAGAGTGAAAACACAGAGCATTACCATGGCAACATGATATGGTGTAAGAGTGACAACACAGAGCATTACCATCACTGTTACCATGGTTACAGGTAGGCAACATGATATGGTGTGATCAAGAACAATCACAACCTTGGCACCTGTCTTGAGAATCAACCTGCTTTGAGAGACCACCTGCTTTGAGAGACCACATGTCTTGATAAACCACCTACTTTGAGAGACCATCTGCATTGAGAGACCACATGTCTTGTTAGACCAGTCATATGCTTTGATATGCAATTTGACATGACTGATTGTATTGACAGACCACCTGTGAACAAAGACCAGTTGAGAGGTCATCCGCCAGTATCGATAAATTCCGCAGAACGAAAAGATTTACATTTTATGATCATCGTTTTATCCCAGATGAGTTTGGATGCTTCTTGCAGCTTCATCATATCCGATTATGTTGTGGGCTAACAGCCACCCCTCAAATTGCACTGCTTTTTACTCTTTACTCAAAATTCTTTTATTCTTCCAACGTTTCGGTCTATGACCATCGGGAACCATCAGGAACCATCGGGAACCATCAGGAATAATCAGGCTCCTGGTGATGGTCATGCACCGAAGTGTTGAATGAATAAAATAATTAAATTTTGAGTATAGTGTAGAAAGCAGTGCAATTTGAGGGGTGGCTGTTAGCTCACAACATGATTGGATCAGTGTTTTAATCTGCCTGAGTTTCAATGGTGACAGATTGGGGACAGATTGTTTTATCCTGAGTCCTTTCAGGATGTCTCCAATCTGTCCACGAATTGACTTGTACTTCTGTGAACGTAGTTGTGACACTGGATCTGTACCTTGTCATGTACCTCAGTCTATGATCTACACTGGATCTGTACCTTGTCATGTACCCCAGTCTATGATCTACACTGGATCTGCACCTTGGCATGTACCTCAGTCTATGATCTACACTGGATCTGCACCTTGGCATGTACCTCAGTCTATGATCTACACTGGATCTGTACCTTGTCATGTACCCCAGTCTATGATCTACACTGGATCTGCACCTTGTCATGTACCCCAGTCTATGATCTACACTGGATCTGCACCTTGGCATGTACCTCAGTCTATGATCTACACTGGATCTGTACCTTGGTGTGCACCTCAGTCTATGATCTACACTGGATCTGTACCTTGTCATGTACCTCAGTCTATGATCTACACTGGATCTGTACCTTGGTGTGTACCTCAGTCTATGATCTACATGTACAAATACAAAGGAGTAAGTTTTGGCAATTACCTGAAAAGGGGTCGATGCACAAAGTGCAGAGGGTTTCAAACGAAAAAACAAACAGAAAGAGGTCCAGTTTGGATTTTTCATAACTCAAAGTTTCATGCTACTGCAATCAGACGACTGATACTAAAACCTGAGACTAATCACTATGAATATGATCATGTGTGATACTTGGTGCTTAAATTGATATAACTCTACACGATTCACGAATAGGACGAAACATTTATTAGGGAGACGGAGAGAAAGGCGAACGACTACATGATGAAAGAGAGAGAGAGAGAGAGAGAGAGAGTTTGAGAGAAAGCGTGCAAGATGAAAGGCCTGGGTAGCTATGGCAAATATCCGCGGTGCGCAAGTATCTACCCAGGCAAGGGTGAGGAGGTGGGGCAAGTACGGGGTGTATGCAGCCTCCCAGCAGGACAACGTAGTAGAAGAAGCCAATGTACGGGTGCATGCAGCCTCCCCGCAGGACAACGTTGTAGAAGGAGCCAATGTACGGGAGGAGGTACAAAATACTTCAGAAGTAGCACTGACGTACGCCAAACCAGTCATGGTTGTACAGGGTACTGTCCTTGCGCTGCAGATGACACTGGTTCCTTACTTGTGTCATGATTGTACAGGGTACTGTCCTTGCGTTGCAGCTGTGACTGGTTACTTGTGTCATGATTGTGCAGGGTACTGTCCTTGCGTTGCAGCTGTGACTGGCTACTTGTGTCATGATTGTGCAGGGTACTGTCCTTGCGCTGCAGCTGTGACTGGTAACTTGTGTCATAATTGTGCAGGGTATTGTCCTTGCGTTGCAGCTGTGACTGGTTACTTGTGTCATGATTGTGCAGGGTACTGTCCTTGTGCTGCAGCTGTGACTGGTTACTTGTGTCATAATTGTGCAGGGTAGAGGGGACGGTTTCAAATAGGACATAGGTTGCAAACCGGATCGGACTCAATATTCACTTTCTCTCTTGGTATTTTGATTAGAAAACATATGTCACAGTGAGACTACGATGTGTTATACTCCGAGCCAAAATTTCATGGCTCTGCGATGACCAGAAGCGCCATACCAAGCAGGTCAGTTTTTGACGTGTTGCTTCGCACTGCGACTTGAGTTTTACGACTTTCGAAAAATCAACTTCTTGTCGCAGGTAAACAGCGGCTCGCCTCTCGCCAATAAAGCACAGCATACCAATCAAAACTAATGGAAGCACACACAAGGCTTATTGTTATTCTGTACTGGCCGTCGTAGAGCGATAGCAATTACCTAATTTCAGACCCAGAGTGAATTTGACGTGCACTCTAAAACGTGTCCGGTTTGGAGCCACCTCTGATTTGAACTTTTTTGAAGCGAAAAATTGGGCAACTTGGAGGCAATGGGTCAACACAAAGGAGTGGCTCAGTTCGATTGACTCTGGCCTCAGAGGAAACTTCAACATGCCAGTTTCCTTCCACAAACATATTTCGAGTGAAAAATCAACGCTGATGATCGGTTTGGGTCTATACAAATTTGGCTGTCAAAGCGTCTCGGTATCGAGCCGTCCCTTCTACTGTCCTTGTGCTGCAGCTGTGACTGGTTACTTGTGTCATGATTGTGCAGGGTACTGTCCTTGCGCTGCAGCTGTGGCTGGTTACTTGTGTCATGATTGTACAGGGTACTGTCCTTGTGCTGCAGCTGTGACTGGTTACTTGTGTCATGATTGTGCAGGGTACTGTCCTTGTGCTGCAGCTGTGACTGGTTACTTGTGTCATGATTGTGCAGGGTACTGTCCTTGTGCTGCAGCTGTGACTGGTTACTTGTGTCATGATTGTGCAGGGTACTGTCCTTGTGCTGCAGCTGTGGCTGGTTCCTTACTTGCTCTACTACTGTAAAACCGGAAAGTCTAACGAGTCACAAAGTCTAACGTTTTAACGACAAATTGATTTTCGTTATTTGAAAAAACGTTATCGCTATATGTCTGTGTGTAGATTAACGTACAGATGGGTGGCCAGGTAGCCATCGTTAAACTTTCTGCACGTTATCATGCCAAAATTACAAAAAAGTTAAACTTTTTGTTCGTTAGACTTTCCAGTTTTACAGTATGCCATGCTAGGTGTGAAGTATTTTTTATGTAATATTTGTTTTCATGGCGGAATTTTGATACTAGTTCGCTTCTTTTGTTCCGACTCTTCGGATTCTTGGGTTTAGTATTGTAAGCTTCTCGATTCTGCATAGGTTGCACCTTTTCGACTTGTTGGAATACGCCGGTGTCCTCGTGTGAACATGCCATCGAACAGAGTAGGGTGTCCCCACCCGCTTCAGGTTCCACACATGATTTGGCAGTTCAGTCTTGTTCTGATACCGTTCATGACGGAAGCTCTTCAGGTTCCACACATGATTTGGCAATTCAGTCTTGTTCTGATACCGTTCATGACGGAAGCTCTTCAGGTTCCACACATGATTTGGCAGTTCAGTCTTGTTCTGATACCGTTCATGACGGAAGCTTATAGTATGGTTACTATACCTGTATTTGAAGGGAGGCTCGTTGAGTCCGGTGTACTCTTGAAGGGAGGCTCGATGAGTCCGGTGTACTCTTGAAGGGAGGCTTGGTGAGTCCGGTGTACTCTTGAAGGGAGGCTCGGTGAGTCCGGTGTACTCTTGAAGGGAGGCTTGGTGAGTCCGGTGTACTCTCTGTCGTCGGGGTCTTCATTTACTGTTACTTTGTACGCTATGGATTGTGACAGGCAATCACCATCAAGGGGGCACTGTGCGGCGTTACTACAGTCACATGGCAGAGGGCAGAGGGCAGAGGGTTGTGGCTGGTTTGTAGTCGCTGTAAAAACACCTTTGTTATTGGTGTTGATGATGCCGCGGAAGTTTTGCATGCAGCTATAACTGATTTTACTCTGTTCCTATTGAATACGTTATGAGGTGGTAAACCTTTCGGGAAGTGTTTTGGGAAGTGTTGATCAGTGAGGCGTAGGAATTTTCCCGTCACATTGGCCTGTACGCTATTTCCTGAGCGGAGGGTTGAACCAAATGATGTACTGATGGTTTCTCCTCGTCTCCCCCCCCCCCCCCTCTTTCCGTTCGCTTTTATGTTCAACCTCCTCCTTAAATCTACTAGCGTGGAGGGTCTCTTTATAGATAGGGGCGGCCAGATTAAATGTTCCCTCTTCGTGTGATAGGTTTTGTAACCCGGCGGCTTATAGCAGCGGAAAGTTGTTCTATGATGTTGGGCGGGTGATTGGACTTGGAGTGAATGTATACAGGTTTATCGTTGGGCTTTCTGTACGGGTACTGTTTACCAGTATTCAAGCTGAGGGCCACAGCTACATAGCTGCATGACTATATTCCGGTTTGTCTCGATCGTAATGCGCAGCCCCAACTCCTTAAATATTTGAATCATTCTTTTCCTAGTGCGGTCTGCCTCACTCCCGGTGTTTTTTGCGCAACACCACAAGTCCGTCGTCACAATACAGGCCGATGTCATCCTTGTTCAGATCCTGCGTCAGCTTGTGTAGCACATAATTATGTGGCAGTTAGCTCGCACACCTCTGCACCATTGTAACACCACATCCGTCTGCGTTGAACAGCAGGGACACTGCCTTGAGTACTGCAAGTCCGTCGTCACAATACAGGCCGATGTCATCCCTGATCAAATCCAGTGTCAGCTTGTGTAGCGTGAATGTGCCAATTAACTTGCACACCATTGCCCCATCGTAACACCCTACAAGTATATAATTGTGAGCGGACAAGGTAGAAATGGAACGTTAGCTGCATGACATCATTTTGAGATACAGGCGTTTGAAGTTTGGCAAACTGTGGCATATTTTTTACCTGGGTTAGAGGGCTCTATTTGCATCAAGCGCTTGTGCCTCGCTCAGCACAGGGCTTCAAGGTTCAGCACTCAAAATTTGAAGTGAATCCGTTATGGCTGAAGGAAGATATGGCAGCTAGTTGTGCGACGGGTGGCGTATTGACGGGCGAATTTGGAGGTGACGGCGATCAGCTGATAGCCTGCTGTCAGGTGCTGAGAGCTTCTCTGATTCTGAGAGCGTTTCTGAGTCAGGTAGTAGTCGAGAGCGTCTTCCACTACGCCGAAAACGACGGGGCGATCAGCGTTTTGTTTGCTGCTAGCTTCAGCGCGGTACAAAAAGACATAGGGAACAAATGAGATGGATCTTTCAGATGCAGGCGAACGTGGTGACAGCAGTAATGATGATAACACCAATGAAGGGGAACGTTCCTGTGGATGCTGAGTTGTACTGAATGTATCCGCCGAACCGACTTCAGAGCTCTGAAGCACACAGGGCAGGAGCTGAAGAAACAATAGCGTCGTGCACCACAGCCAGGGGAACGTATACCTGGTATACAGGTAGCCCAGAACAACTAGCTAGCTGTTGCCCAATACATTGGATGCAAGTGGCAGACCTGCAACGTGCACTGTCTGGAAATCAGTGTTTTAAGAATTGAGATACACAGAATGGTCAAGGCTGGTGAACATGAGCTGAGTGGAAAGAAGTCAAATCGGGCCTCGGATTGCGGACTGATGTGTAACGTTACGTTAAGTACAGTTTCTCAAGTCTGTGGACTCGTGGACTTCGCCAATGGGCACCGTATTGGTGGTGCCTCTCCGGAATATTATTTCGATGCTGTGTGTTCAAGAGCTGTCTGTCTCCTGCCAAAATGTTACTAACTATATTACCAAGGTGCGCCGCTCAGTCGTCGGGAGCCTCAATGCATCAGAGCAGATTCCGAGGTCGCCAACAGTATACGATGAGAGCGTGCAGACATGGCTGAAGCAAGAACGCACTGGAATTACCATTTGTCCACCAAATTCTTCTATTTTTGACATGTGTGTAGTGGTATTTGATGTGTGGATTGAGTACCAGCTTCAACAGTCCTATTATTTTGCCTTGCATCACGAGTTACTCTGGAGCTGATTTTTCGGCTCCGGCTGTTTCTAGTTATGTGGTTTTGTTGCTTGGTTCCACCTCAAACGAGTCCATGTGTGTGATCAGCTCATCTTTCACACTGATATACACTTGTGGAGAAATACAGGCCAAGATATTGGTTTTTTTTCAGTGTTTAGGTTGTACTGAAGGGTGGACTGTTTAAATCATCCCGAAATAGACGTTAAAATACTGACCGGCATCTAGAAAATGGTGAATGTAAGGCACTTCCCACCATAGTATCAGCCTGAAATTTTGGGATCTGAAAAACAGATAGTTGTAGGTGACCTTAATGCAAAAAAAAACAGTTTTTGCCAGACTGCAGTTAACGTTCCATTTCTACCTTGTCCGCTCACAATTATACATGTACATGTTAACAAGACCCTGGAGCTGGCTGTATGGAGCATGGTTGCCATGGGCAACAACTGGTGTCATGTGTGATAGATCGTTACAGAGAAATGCAGAACACTGTTTGATGGGTACATGCAACCTCTCACTCTTCTCTCACTCTTGGACTTCACCAGGAGTCGCATAGTGGCTGTAGTCAAAGTGATGTGACCGAAGTTTTCTAGCAACTAACTTGTTACTTGAGACAGGCAGGGTGTCCACGTTGTCCAGGATTTAGGTGACATAAAACCAGTCAACAGCATGGACTGGTCAGATCTCCCAGGCCCATACTAGAATGCCATAAGCATTAACCCTTTACCAACCGACCAAATTTCCCAACACTCCAAATTGCAATAATTCTCACCTTATTCTGAGAATATCTTCGGTTCTAATAAACCAATTTTCACAATCTTGGGCATTCTGGAAAGCTCTCCACGAGCTGCGTACATTGAGCTCAAACAGGGCACTACCGAGATCACATATCCAGCGCCAGGGAACTTCAAATACATCCCATCGCTGGATATACGAGGAAATTCTCTCCTCGCCATCCATTTCTCGCTCCTTCATCGTAAACATTCCAAATTTTTTGCTTGAGTTTCTTTTCATGCTGCCCACGCGCTCAAAGCATGCCAAAGTGACTCAGCATGCCAAGAGAGGGGAAGTTTCCCGCTCAAGGTCAGTCACTCTGAAAGGAATTCGACTTTTGCCGTGGCTGAAATGTCGAGTGTCATATCTTTGGAATGCGACATTACAGCTCTTCACCGATTGATGCAATGGAAAGCTGGGCCCTTCGGCTTCTTCCTAGATACTTAGTTTTTTTAAATTCCGACAAGAATCGATCGAGCTACGAATGTTTTAGTGTATGCATGTTCATCGATCTCTAGAGATCGACTCAAGTACACACGAATGGTAAAGGGTTAAGTGTGTCTTGCCTGTGGGTGTGTGTGTGTGTGTCTTACGAGTGTGTGTTTGTGTGTGTGTGTGTGTGTGTGTGTGTGTGTGTGTGTGCGCGCGCGCGCGTGCGTGTGCATGTGTGTGTGTGTGTGTATGCATGCTCGTGTGCGTGCGTGCGTGTGTGGCCGTGTGTGTGTGTATGCATACTTGCCTATCTTCATAGAGGTGAACTGCAGCCAAGTGTTGGACACCCATCTACAGTGCCAGTATGGTCATTGTGCAGTGGATAAGAAAGGCGCACCCTATTGTGTCTGTAACAAAGACTGCTTCGGCACTAGCTGCAACTATTGTAAGTTGACAGTAAAGCAGCACCATATATGTCCCATGTGCTTCCTGTCACCATGGCTACTGTGCACACTAGCTGTCACCATGGTTACTGTACATGCTAGCTGTCACCACGGTTACTGTACATGCAAGCTGTCACTATGGTTACTGATCACCAGGGAGTCGGTCATGTTGGGAGACGACACATGACCATAGTTCCCACAACGAAGTGGGTTTTGACCCTGGACTTAGGCGTTCTCTCTAATTTGTGGTGATGATCGCGATCCTGGCATGGATTTGCTGACCCAGACGCAGCCCAGTCCACATCACGGTCCTGGCATGGATCTGCTGACCCAGACACAACCCAAGCCCAGTCCACAGATGTCATGTGCAAGTGTGCATGGATCGACCATATCACAAGGGAAACTGGAATTGGCAGCCGGGAGCAAAACTCACACTGTTCCACGTTTCAATCAGCTGTGTTGCCTACCTGCAAAGCTTCGACACTCTGCTGCTCGTGCTAGCTTGCACCAACAGTACATACCCCCCCCCCCCCCCCCAAGAGTGTGCAACTGCATGCACAGCCTCTATACAGTGGTGCGATGACGGCAGAACTTCACATCATGTGACATGGTTGAACAGGCTATGCTGGCAAACAGTGCAACGTGACCACTAGAGACTTGAACCCAGTGCTGCGTACAAGCCTGTGTTTATCATGCACAGGGTGCAAATAATGTGTACAGGTTTGTCAATTGATGTGAAGTTCTGCCGTCGCAGACCCCTGGCATAGCTGGAGTTGCACACTCTTGAGGGTTATGTCATGTTATGTACTCTTGGGGGTTATGTACTCTTGGGGGTTATATACTCTCGGGGGTTATGTACTTTTGCTTGCACACTGACGTTCTACTCATCCTCCTAGCACCGGGTGTGTGTACACACAATGGCTATCAACAAGAGTACATCAAACCAAGAGTGTGCAGCTCAAATGGGCTGCTCTCACAGCCACATTCCTGGGTTACATTATCTAAATTGTCCAGGATTGTCCAGGTACCCGGGATTGTCCAGGTACCCGGGATTGTCCAGGTACCCGGGATTGTCCAGGTACCCGGGATTGTCCAGGTACCCGGGATTGTCCAGGTACCCGGGATTGTCCAGGTACCCGGGATTGTCCATGGACCCGGGATTGTCCATGGACCCGGGACTGCCGAGGAATGCTTACCTTGTCTTCAGAATTTCATAACTTTTAATATCCAGTATCCAGTATACATCTGATATATGGCATGCTAGCCCTATTATCATACCATGCGTATATTCTTGTCAAGTGGCTTCCACTGAAAACTGAAAATGATCTTGTTCCTTGTGAATCTTTTTACCATAATCAGGCTGTCCTAAAACGAATGGGGAAATAGTGACGGGTGACATCATTATTCCCAGACCATGCACTAGCCAAGCCAGTCTTCAACTGCAGTGCTCCAAAGAAGTGACTCAAACCAGCCCGGGAAAAGTTTACTGGGAGATGAATCACCAGCGAATTCACGACGGTCAGCTTCTGACCTGGACGTATCGCAGAGGTGTTGGCCAGTTTGTCTGCATGTCCACGGCCGTGGAGAATGTATCATATGCCATCAATGTGGCCATTGCAGGTGAGTGGGATGGATATGATAAGTATGCCACTATTGGTATGATAAGTATGCCACTATTGATGAGAGAGAAGTATAATATGTACAGAGACATCGGACAGTATTTTTAGGGTCGTACGGTCAGCTGTCTGAAGTGCAATTTTCTCAAGCACTTGTGGCTATCCTGAAGCCTTTCAAAATGTTGAGCCAAAATCAGTGCATGCTACTAATTCGTGGGTGCCTGGGGTAAGGGAGTGGTATGGTCTTAGTGAAGTAGAGATACATCGTCTTAGTGAAGTAGAGATAGACCCTCTTAGTGAAGTAAAGATAGACCCTCTGAGTGAAGTAGAGATAGACCCTCTTAGTGAAGTAGAGATAGACCCTCTTAGTGAAGTAGAGATAGACCGTCTTAGTGAAGTAGAGATAGACCGTCTTAGTGAAGTAAAGATAGACCGTCTTAGTGAAGTAAAGATAGACCGTCTTAGTGAAGTAGAGATAGACCGTCTTAGCGACCATGTATGGTAGTAAGCCAGTGATTGACTGGTGTCCGAGAAGTGATGTCTGTATCGGCAACAGTCATGGATCAACACGATCTGATCTGATGAATACGGTACGGATCTCTTCCCTGGACTTGGTGCTGCTAGGACTGGAGCATCACAGAATCCTGCACTAGCTGATGGGTGATCTCCCTCTACTTAGCAATATAGAATCGTACACTAGCTGATGGGCTATCTCCCTCTACTTAACAATATAGAATCCTGCACTAGCTGATGGATGATCAACCTCTACTTAGCAATATGACAATAACCGTGAAGCAAGGCGCAGCAATGTACTCACCTTGCAAAAGTTATCTCCTGATACAACGAACACCATTGTGCAGGAGAATTATGTTGTTCTTTATAGTCAAAGTTCTTTATAGCAAGAATGCACTAATACCATGCAAGCAACATGTCATGACTGCTAGGTCTTATACCATGCAAGCAACATGTCATGACTGGCAGGTGGGTGGGCCATCACATTATGTTTGCACTTACTTTAAATGCGGTCCAACAAGGTAGTGGAAACTCGGATGTTGAGCCAATAGTTATGTGTAAAGAGAAAAGGAGGACCTATACGTTACTGGTTCCGACAAACAGTCCACCAAGCTTTGTAGATGTGTTAGAGCTAGTTGTCAGGTCGTCGACTGTCTCACTATCCTTGTTAGTTTTGTGCTTTGTTGTTGCACTATCTGACTGTATATTATCTCGTTACCTTGTGGAATGTTAGTCATAACTTGTAACTTAGAGGTCCTTTTCTCTTTACATACTACAAGGTAGTGTTTGTTAGACTGTAAAACCGGAAAGTATAACGACCAAAGAGTTTAACGTTTTTTTGTAATTTTTACATGATCACGCTCAGAAAGTTTAACGGTGGCTACCTGGCCATCCATCTGTATGCGCATCTTTACACATACATCTAGCGATAACGTTTTTTTCGAATAACGAAAATAATAGGTCGTTAAAACATTAGACTTTGTGACTCGTTAGACTTTCCGGTTTTACAGTAAACGAAAATGGTCGGCTCCAATAGGTCACCTTTGTATGGGATCCAACAAGGACATGGCATGGACAATGGTTCGCTGTATCACGAAATCTGCCATAATTATGTGAGTTCATTATAAGTAGAGTCGACTGTACAGTCATGTAGAATGCATGTCAAGCAGGATAGATGTTTACAATTCGTCGTAGTAATGGGGCGTTACCTGTGCAGTGTGACACGCATTAGCTGTGCAGTGTGACACGCGCGCATGTCTGCATGCACAACCATACACCCCTACACATACACGCAGTCATGCACATAATTATACACATTTGCTATATTGTATTCTTGCTTCTATCACACTGACTTCATTCTGTGCAGATAAGCCTGTCATCATTCCACCAGCCAATCTAGTTATAATTCAGACGGGAAGTGTGCATCAGCAAGCTCGTTTAACTGTCAATCTATCCCAAACGTTCAATGCAACTAGCCTCCAGTATACCTGCAGTCGAGTCAGCGGCGGAGTTTGCGGTGGAGGACCTAGAACGTGCGTGCGAGAATTTGCGCCAGAGAATTCGGACACTGCTATATTGGACAACGTGCGTCTTGCCTGGTAAGTCCAATGTATCAAGTGATTCATTGTGCTTGTTATGGCTATAGTGTGCGTCTTGCCTGGTAAGTCCAATTTATCTTATGAATCATTGTGCTTGTTATGGCTATAGTATGATTGTCATGGCTATAGTATGATTGTCATGGCTATAGTATGATTGTCATGGCTATAGTATGATTGTTATGGCTATAGTATGATTGTTATGGCTATAGTATGATTGTTATGGCTATAGTATGATTGTTATGGCTATAGTATGATTGTTATGGCTATAGTATGATTGTTATGGCTATAGTATGATTGTTATGGCTATAGTATGATTGTTATGGCTATAGTATGATTGTTATGGCTATAGTATGATTGTTATGGCTATAGTATGATTGTTATGGCTATAGTATGATTGTTATGGCTATAGTATGATTGTTATGGCTATAGTATGATTGTTATGGCTATAGTATGATTGTTATGGCTATAGTATGATTGTTATGGCTATAGTATGATTGTTATGGCTATAGTATGATTGTTATGGCTATAGTATGATTGTTATGGCTATAGTATGATTGTTATGGCTATAGTATGATTGTTATGGCTATAGTATGATTGTTATGGCTATAGTATGATTGTTATGGCTATTGTTATGGCTCAAGTACTGTAAAACCGGAAAGTCTAACGACCAACGTATTTGTGTTTTTGGCATGATAACGTGCAGAAAGTTTAACGATGGCTACCTGGCCACCCATCTGTATGCGCATCTTTACACAGACATCTAGCGATAATGGTTTTTCAATTAACGAAAAATAATTGGTCGTTAAAACGTTGACTTTCCGGTTTAACAGAATTATGAGTGTCATGGTTGGGGATTGTGGTTCCTATGGTAACATTATTATGTGTCGCAAGAATGAGCCACTGGAGTGTGTGATCCCCGGTAGCCTAACCCGTAAGGCACTGTCCCGGAAAGACAGGGGTGCTGTGTTCGAAACCCACTCGTGGATCCTTCTTTTGCAACATACTGCATGGTTGCCAGTCGGCAAGATCCTGCTTGCCATGTGGCGTTGCTGTGGTTGTCATGGCCGCAGTATCATGGGTGCCATGGTTACATGATCGTGGTTGCCATAATAGCAATATTCTGGTTCCATGGTAACTGTGATATGGTAGCTATTTGGCAGTATCATCATTCTGATGGTTGCAGCATTGTCTATCACAGCCACGCTATGCGCAGTAGGCGAAACATCAGAACTGGTCTTGCCCCCCCCCCCCACACACACACTTGCCTATGCGATATCTTGTGGGTTGTATGTTATTTGAGGGTTGTGTGTGATTTGAGTGTTGTGTCTGATTTGAGGGTTGTGTCTGATTTGAGGGTTGTGTGTTGCACTCCTACCAGGTAAACAGTGCACTTTCCTTTGGGAAAGCTGAGTTCAGTTATGTCAGCAGAACTATGTATGGCCACTGTAATCCCCCTCCTGTGCTGGTATGCTCCGTAAATCTACTGTGTTCCATGTGCGTAACGGGCCGTTCATTGTTTGGGTATAATGATCAACTATGTGAGGAAGAGGTTGGTGCGACTTCGGCGATAGTAGGGGAAGAGTGTGTTGCTCCCTACATGGGAGCTCGCGGTTCTCCTGCCGGCTTGAATTCTCACTTGACTGACTCACGACGGCCATCCAGAGCACACGAGAAGTCCATCGAACCGTCCACTTGGCAAACCTGCAAGAAAGCACCACTCCCTGCTCAATCCAAAGTGTTTCGGGGAATTCACCCCTCATCAGTTGAGCTTGAGTAGGCTGAGGAAGATTGTGCCTGAAGAGCACCACTTATTTACTGCTCTCCAGGCACAAACATCACCAGGGATACAAACTTACAGAGACGCTCCGTTTCCAGTGCGACAAACACCTCGTGAATACCAGATAGCAGCGTGAGTCAGTGTCGCTCATGGAGGTGCTGAACAAGCGTTGAGAATCGTTGGCCATTCACAATGTTGTTGCCTCCAAACCATCTAATTCGCAAGCCGACGATGGGGACAACAATGTGAGGAAGAGGTTGGTGCGACTTCGGCGGCGAGCTCCCATCTAGGGAGCAACACACTCTTCCCATATTGATCAGCTTGTGTTTTAATTTATTTATTGTCTCAGCAGACCATTGAAATGGTTGAATTGGTTTTTGTATGTAGGTTTGTGGGTGCTAGTACATTGTATAAAATTATTGCATGTGTTTGTGTGCATGTGTGTGTGTGTATAATTATGATATATGTGTGCGTGCGAACGTGCTTGTGTGTGCGTGTGTGTGTGTGTGTGTGTGTGTGTGTTTCTGTCTGTCTGTTATTGAATGACATAGTTGTGCAGGAGAGTATGTTGCCTGTGTCACGAACAGCTATGGACAAGCATGCACTACATTCATGTTGGACATTGTTCAAGGTAAGTTCTATCCACTCTGGATAACATGCCTATGGAAGTGTGTGATGGAACTTTGTTTTGAAAAGTGTCTGTGCCCTGACCTGTTGGAGCCTAGCTTTGTTTGTATGGGCGGTTTCCTCTGAACAAAGTACATTCTTGCCGAGGTCAACGCTCTTCAGATTATTTCCCTTCTCTTATTTAATTTGAACACCGTAGAACTCCGATCAACCGGTCAGGATGGGACTGGGCAGGATGGGACTGGGCAGGATGGGACTGGGCAGGATGGGACTGGGCAGGATGGGACTGGGCAGGATGGGACTAGGCAGGATGGGACTGGGCAGGATGGGAGTGGGCAGGATGGGACTGGGCAGGATGGGACTGGGCAGGATGGGACTGGGCAGGATGGGACTGGGCAGGATGGGACTGGGCAGGATGGGACCTGGCAGGATGGGACCTGGCAGGACGGGACTGGGCAGGATGGGACTGGGCAGGATGGGACTGGGCAGGATGGGACTGGCCAGGATGAAATCGGGGAGGATTGGATTGGGCAGGATAGGATCGGGCAGGATGGGACCTGGCAGGATGGCACCGGACCGCCCTGTTTGAGTACGAAGCGAATACTGTCAACCGGGAAACGTTTGTGCCGATTTTAATCCGCGCGTGGATCCTAGAGAAATAACGTAGAGAGCAGACGCCTGGGCTAGACTCTACGCGCGTGTTTTGGGTCCAGATGTCTACGGGTAGATGAGATTCTCTACGTTGTGGCACACGCAAAGAAAATGTGAAAATGTGAAAATGTGAAAATGTGTACGGAGATACTGGGTATCGATCAAATGCAGGCAGAAAGCTACCAAATATGAAAAGAGAAATTCCCAGTACACATTCCACGTGATTTCTCTACGTGAACGTTGAGCAGAACAGGTTTTCTTTACGTCACGGGAACACGAAAAGAGTTCCCGGGATTCTTGGCGTCTCCTTCCCATATCGTTGAGCAGAGCATCCCTAGTTTAACACTTGTTGTCTAGTCCTCTTCACTACTCCACAAACTACCATTACCGTTGCTCACACATATCGCGAAAATCGTAAATGATTCTAGATTGCAAAGGTTTCTGCGTTTACTGTGTCCAGTACCTGCAGTCGCCTGTTCCAGTGAATGCACTATGTAGGGTGTTGTCAGCTCACAAACAATTATTAGGATGCACCCAGTATTCTGAACGGCTTTCTGAATGCTGTGGCTGAAAGTTCACTGTGTAAAGGAAATGGTATTGCCTTCTCCCCCTGGCCCCTGCCACACAACAGCTCAAACAACTTGGTGGAGTTTCTGACTTCTTATACAAACGGAAAGGGCACAGGAGGAGAAAGACGAAAAGACTAGAAAGAAAACGACGACGGGAAAGACTCCCGGGAAAAGACTCAGTCCAGACTCGAAGAAAACAACAACGAACAAACAGTAATAAACCGACGACAAATCGAGACGACCAATCAGGGACGAATACGTACAGAACACATGACCAAGACCAAGACAACCAGACCACGGACGAATCACACATGACTCATTCCCAGACCAAACTAGCACTGCGCATGTACAGCATTCACTTGGCAGTCACTCTCACACAGACGGAAGCACGTCCTCACACTCTGACAACGCGTACTCTTGCATGCACCACATACCATTAACGTCACACATCACACCATACTCGCGCGTACACCTAGACCATATATGACATCAGACACTGGACTCCACAAGACAAGAACCAAATACAACGACATGCGTAAATCAATACGAGACGAAATCCGTAACACAGCATTCCCCTCCGGCGAGAGACTACCTCGACTCTCAGAAGTAGAAAAATGGAGTAGGAGAAAAACAAAAGGGGTGAGAAGACACAATAACAGGAGAAGAAGACAGGACAACGGCAAGTGGCTGGCTGCAGACGTGGAGATGGGAAAACCTTGGGTGTGGTTCCACGAGGTGGTGCGTCGTACGACTTGCCCATTCAGATGTGGAAGATGTGTATAACATGTACAAATGGAGCAACAGAACACAGCAGGCATGTAGTCAATCAGGGAAAAGAACAAATCGAAAATCCATCGATACACTGTCACACAAACTTCAGAAGGGGAGAAACCCACAGGACTCTAACCTGACTAGAAAACTCGGCGCGGAGCCGGCATAAGTGTCCCACACTTTTCCGATGGCGGATCATCTTGTCGTCCCACGACCCCGTATGATCCTGTCGTCCCACGACCCATAATAATCTTGTCGTCCCACGACCCATAATATTTAGATTTTTATTTATTTATTTTTTTAATTTTATACTTCCCCGACAAAAGGCTAAACAAACACTGGGGCCCACCAGCTCACGAAGGAAACCGTGGCTCACCATGATCAGACATTCACCTGGTGAACTGAACAGACCCGCAGGTCGACACAAAACGAGAACAAAATACGCTCCCTGAAAGACTACCTATGGCTATGAACCAACTCGTAACCAAGAAAACTGTTCCAGTACAAACCATCACAGCAAAACGTGTGTGGCAACTTCAAAACCGAACCAAGCGTACAAACCAAACAGTTACACAACCACACTGAAAGGCTAATCAAGAAAACTGCACAAACCCCAGCAAATATACGCACACTGACTGCAAAAACCAAAACAGAAAGACACAAGAGAGACACAAGAACCGGATCGCCGTCACAAAGACTGATGGTATCGGAACGATAGCGCGAAAAGATAAAGCGCAACTTGCCAAGAGGCACCACCCCGAGTACGTCGACATGATGCTCAAGCTCTATCGAGTGAGGCGACGGGACCACAACGAATATACAACAACCAAACCCTCTACTGGGAGCGACTCACCGGGTAAGGGGCCTGCAGGCCAGGCTGGCGAACGCCTTTCCATCTCCATGGCCGTAGTAGCAATCTCGGTGAAGTGAGTTGAACGACGAGAAATAAAATATATTTCGAAACGGCGAGCACGAACTGAAGCCACGGCGAAAACGAAGAGAAAACGATCTCAGGGTCGTGGGTGCCGATCACTAGTTGGGCGCCACTGTAAAGGAAATGGTATTGCCTTCTCCCCCTGGCCCCTGCCACACAACAGCTCAAACAACTTGGTGGAGTTTCTGGCTTCTTATACAAACGAAAAGGGCACAGGAGGAGAAAGACGAAAAGACTAGAAAGAAAACGACGACGGGAAAGACTCCCGGGAAAAGACTCAGTCCAGACTCGAAGAAAACAACAACGAACAAACAGTGATAAACCGACGACAAATCGAGACGACCAATCAGGGACGAATACGTACAGAACACATGACCAAGACCAAGACAACCAGACCACGGACGAATCACACATGACTCTCATTCCCAGACCAAACTAGCACTGCGCATGTACAGCATTCACTTGGCAGTCACTCTCACACAGACGGAAGCACATCCTCACACTCTGACAACGCGTACTCTTGCATGCACCACATACCATAAACGTCACACATCACACCGTACTCGCGCGTACACCTAGACCATATATGACATCAGACACTGGACTCCACAAGACAAGAACCAAATACAATGACATGCGTAAATCAATACGAGACGAAATCCGTAACAACTCAGGGGCGTAGCCAGGATTGTGGCTGAGGGGGGTGCTTACTGGAAGTGTGGGCGTGCGCCGGAAGGGCGCGAAAAATGGGGGGGTCCGGGGGCCCTCCCCCGGAAAAATTTTCGATATTGAGTGCCAAATCCTTCATTTTTGCATCTATTTCATTATTTTCCATTCCACCAATGATTCAATAAAAAGTCAGATAATCGTATGAAACGCACAGTACTTTGCTACAGAAGTTGGATGGTAAGAGATTGACAGGGTGTGGTTAGACCCAGAATATAATACAGACAATTGGCACTGGCACTGCTGCTACTGGTATCTGGTCTCTTCGACTTCCCTCGACTAAAATACTTCAAGATCGACATTTTCATAAGAATCCATTCGACTTGCGGATCACAAAACGACGTTGACACTTCTCTTTCACTTCTACCAAGTCTAGCTACACAAAGTGCGAGTCTATATACCGGTAGTTGTACAATGCGCAGTGCATCCGAAAACGACCAAACTCACATTCAAAGGCAAAGATCTACACACAACTATACTACCACGGTAGTACTAGTTCAAATTACAGTACCGGTAGTACTACATTGTACTAAAAATTAATAATTTAGCACTACTGCGCCTGTCACCGGCGAGAACATGACTGCATGTGCAGCCATGCATGCAGTCTCAAGTGCAACCTGCATGCGCTACTAGTACTAGTGTAATACAGTTGGCCGGGCCCCGTCGTGCAGCGCAGCGTCGTGTGGCGTCGATCTTGTCGACGTCGAGTCTCGATCGCGGGCGGGCGTAGATCCACAGCAGTACGAAAATGGTACCTGAAATTTTTGAGGGGGGTGCTTGGGCACCCAAAGCACCCCCCCTGGCTACGCCACTGCAACTGTATGACAGACTAATACACAAATGTTCTGTTTGTTCCTGTGATGAGATGACTATAATTATTTTGTCCTGTGAATGTGTGTTGCTATTGGCAATTATTTGCATCCTTTTGCTTGTGCGCGTAGACAGACACATGTCTTCTCCATAGTGCAAGCCGTGACTACGAATATCACAGAACAGATAATACTGTTTCATAGTGTGGTGGATAATTTCGAATTTTTGTCTTCCCGGTGCTCTTGCTGTATTCTTTGTAGATGGTTGTGACGTTGCGCCTCGGCTTGTTATGCAAGCACAGTCGGAGTTATGTGTCAATGTTATGGTAAGGAGCAATAACCGATGTGACAGAACAATTTAGTTATAGCTATGAAAAGGATCAACTGCGCACTCATTCTATACACATATCAAGGCAAAGGCGGTGGAAGGTGATGATATAAGGCAAAGGCGGTGGAAGGTTATGATATTATATTAAATAAAGGCAAAGGCGGTGGAAGGTGATGATATATTAAATAAAGGCAAAGGCGGTGGAAGTTGATGATATATTAAATAAAGGCAAAGGCGGTGGAAGTTGATGGACATGCTTGCTTTCATGTGTGTATAGAATGAGAACGCAGTAACTGTTAATCCTTTTTATTGCTCTATTGGCAAGTATCCGATTATATTGTTCCATGACACATTCATCTAAATCTGTTTGACCTATGCATACTCATACTCAGGGACACTAAGTACGGTCGTGAGCGGGCCATCTTGATGACTGGCGCATTGCATTGCATGTCTGGGAACCTTGGTTATCCTGCCAAGTTGGATATAACCATAAAGGGCATCTCTTGATGACTGGCTCATTGCATTGCATAACTGGGAACCTTGGTTATCCCGACAAGTTGGATATAACCATAAAGGGCATCTCTTGATGACTGGCTAATTGCATTGCATAACTGGGAACCTTGGTTATCCCGACAAGTTGGATATAACCATAAAGGGCATCTCTTGATGACTGGCTCATTGCATTGCATAACTGGGAACCTTGGTTATCCCGACAAGTTGGATATACTTCCTCCGTATACAAAAACTTCGTGACTTTTTTGAACGGTGTTTTTTAGCAAGAACCTGCTCAACGAACGGCGCCAAAGGCTGTCATCGACAACCCACGTCCATGTCGAGGTTAGTTTGGTTGATCCCGAACAGATTCTCCACGGACGCCATGCGTGTGAGGACGTTGCCGACAGAAACTCCAGAGTCAAATGAAAAAAATAACACTTACTTGCTCGAAACTGACACAGTGACGAAGTGTAGCTCGTGGCTGGAACACGGAGTCACGCGGCACTCGCTGCCCTGAAACTGGCCAGGCTCGTACTTGCGGTGCGCGGCCCCATAGATCTACGTAGCGTGAGAACATAGATTTGTTTCGCTCGCACGGCAAGATGAAACATTTCAGTCGTCGTGCAACCAACGCAGACTCAGGATCAGAATGTCGATGGCCTGGCTTTCTTCGCCTCTCAGACTCTCCAGTCAGACGTCTCCTTTGTCGCCAAGGGGAATCGCAGGGACCTCCTCGAAGTCATTGTAGAATGCTTGGGAGGATTATCCTGGCGAGAAAATGCGATGCGTGTGGATGTGCTTGTACGACTCGTTTCACGGCATAATGGAGGTCGCGGGTTGGAAGGACTGAATATAGTCGACACCGATTCGTACACAGCTCTAGAGATGAAGAGGACGTAGCCAAAGTCCAGCGTCGGACCATCACTGCAGGTGACAAGAATCTGAACGAAATGCGAGCGGAAGCAGCGACTGTTGGCGATGCGGAGTCAGCGTCGTCAGGTGACAATGACATAAGCGACGAAGACTCTGAAAAAACTCAATCTCATTCATCTGAGTTGCTTTTTTCTTTGTATATAGCTTGTAAACAGGTTAGACAATGCCACGAGTGTTATTCCGAGTCAAACGGAACCATTCCAGAGCTGTGCGCAGCTTTCAAAAAAAGTCACGAAGTTTTTGTATACGGAGGAAGTAACCATAAAGGGCATCTCTTGATGACTGGCTCATTGCATTGCATAACTGGGAACCTTGGTTATCCCGACAAGTTGGATATAACCATAAAGGGCATCTCTTGATGACTGGGTCATTGCATTGCATAATTGGGAACCTTGGTTATCCCGACAAGTTGGATATAACCATAAAGGGCATCTCTTGATGACTGGCTCATTACATTGCATAACTGGGAACCTTGGTTATCCCGACAAGTTGGATATAACCATAAAGGGCATCTCTTGATGACTGGCTCATTGCATTGCATAACTGGGAACCTTGGTTATCCCGACAAGTTGGATATAACCGAAAAAGGCATCTCTTGATGACTGGCTCATTGCATTGCATAACTGGGAACCTTGGTTATCCTGACAAGTTGGATATAACCATAAAAGGCATCTCTTGATGACTGGCTCATTGCATTGCATAACTGGGAACCTTGGTTATCCTGCCGACAAGTTTGATGTACCCACACATCCCACAGCACTCCCCAAGCGGTCTCTGGCCTAGGCCAATCACTTTTAAAATTAAATGATTTAAGTCATCCAAATCAGTTTCGGGCAAGGCCCATGTTCAGAAGGTTTGACGCGAAACACTGCTTTATGACTGTGGGTGGATGCTTGGTGAACAGATTCTACATAGAGGGGTATTCCATTTCAGAATTATTTTCGGAATCTGGTGGCAGAAGTGAAACAGTAACTGAGCTTTCGGAAGTATGCTGGTGAAAGTGCATGGTTTTGCGAATATAAATTTTCGGCTTTTTAGTTTGCACATGCCGTAAGATTGAGAACGTAATGTTTTCGATTTTTAGCGCCTCCTATGCTCGGCATTTGTTTTTGCATGGCAACCCTTGGGAACAATATCGAATCCAGTTTTTGGAATGCAAAACAATGAGAATTACGTTTTGGCACGTGCGTTTTTCTCGGAAAGGCACAGGCGAAAAAATATGCCAAAATTCAGACTGCAAAACCTGTGGTTTATCTTGAAAGCCATTACAATAACCTGCCCTCCCCCACACTGTGCTTTGACGTCAATGTGTGCGTGATCGTGTGTGTGTGTGTTCGTGTGTGTGCGTGATTGTGTGTGTGTGTGTGTGTTCGTGTGTGTGCGTGATTGTGTGTGTGTGTGTGTGTGTGTGTGTGCACGCGCCTGTGGGATATCTAATGTCGCATTTGCTGTTTCCAGGGCAACAATGATACTGAGGTGTCTTGGTTTCTGAACGGTGATCGATCAAGTACCGGATTCCCTTCTGTTAGATCCGATGTCAACTCCACTTGTTGTTGCCGGCAATATTGCTTGAGCGACAATGACAATGCAGAATTACCCAAAGGCGTTTCCATTGTGCCGTGTGTGCTACATTCATCAGGTAACATATCCACCTGTAGCAATCAGAATTTCACCACTGCCTCATCGTCCGGGCTGCTAACAGTCGCAGAGATTGCCTATGCTGCGACTGGAGGTGTAGTCCTGCTAGGAGGTGGTGCGGTAGCTGTGTTAGTTGGTAAGCACACTTGTATACAGTCGTTACTCTTTATCCAGCACTTGATGAACCAGAATCCTGAATTAGCCGGCTAGATTCTCACTAACCAAACTGTCCTATTCATGCCCTCTTCACCAAACAATCAAATGTGCTAATCATGC